GACTTCTAACTCATTTCTGTCCCTTAGCAATGTGAGCCACTGGGTCAGCTCCAGTCATTGAGACTTAATCAGGAGATGACCTTACTCCTTCTCCAGGCTGTCTAACAAGAGAGCTTCATGGATACTTTCCATGGATACTTCCATCTCCAAAAGGAGATGCTATCAAAAGTCCCAGACAAAGGCTTGTTACTCTTCATCATTAAACCTGTTTGAAGACAATTCAGGAGAAGTCAGTAGATATGATAAGGTTGAAGATGTAAGAGATCAAATCCCTTAGGATATCAGGCTGCTAGAAAGAGTTTCTGGGTTCTTGGGTCACTCATTCCCTGTTGCTCTGAAAATAGGTAGGAAATTCACGTTTTTGAGATTGTACTCTGGAAGATTCTTAGGAGAAGTTAGGGCCTGTTTCTGAATTAGATGGGATTTGTTCTAAGACAAGCTTCTTGTGTGTTTCATGTCCAACTTCCTCTTCCTAAATACTGTAAGATATTTAGAAAAATGATCTGGGCTGGTATACTGGAAAGATAACTGATTCTTGAATCAGAGAGCCTGGGTTCAAAATCCTTCTGATGCTTATTATCTGTGTGACCTGGGGAAAGTTATGGCACCTTTCTGGGGCTTCAGTCTCATCTGTAAAGGGACTCAGGTTAGATGGTCTCTGAGGTCCTTCCCAATTCTAAATCCATGATCTTTTGACTACCAAGCACTGTCTGATTTGCCAGAAAAACACAGAAAAAATTAAGGATTTCAGTACTGTTTGTATTATGCTGTATAAGGTAGTCCTGTCAAGGCATGAATGGGAATAGAGGTCTCCTTTCATCATGGGGGATTGTTATCATCTTTGATGGCAGTGGTAATCCACAAAGAGTTTGAATGAGTCAGGTTGAGAGGCCGATGAGTAAACCTGCTACAATGCAAACTTCCACTGAGTGGGAGCTGGCTGACCTTCCGTCTTATTCAGGATTTAGCTCTCAAGAGAGAACTAGAGTTTTAGTCTGGCATTATGATTTTAGGCAAAGAGAATAGGTGAAGGGAATGGGGGGAAAGTACCTTGTAAAAGCAAAACCCTATTTTAGTCAAGAGATCTTTTTCTTAATCTGGGGCATAAACCACTTGCAGCCAAGATTGTGGAAGGTATTACTGGTTTGATCAAATGAGAATTATGTACAAAGCTTTGTAAACCTTGAAACACTGTATAAATGAGAGCTATTATTCAATAAAATATAAATTCCTTGAGGGTAGGGACTGTTCCTTCCTTCCTTCCTTCCTTCCTTCCTTCCTTCCTTCCTTCCTTCCTTCCTTCCTTCCGTCCTTCCTTTCTCTTTTACTTTTTTATCCCCATTACCTAATACAGTGCCTGGCACATAGTAGGTACTTAATAAATGCTTGTTGAATTGAATTGATATGAATGCCTATCCTAGGAGAGGACAAAGAGGTATATATGAGATACTGTTAATGAATGGATTGTGAAAAATTAGGGAGTAGGAGAGATATCTGGAGGAAATGGAGGAGTGTGTGTTCTGGCAATTAGGGAGAAGAGGTAGCAGAGGACCAGTAGATACCTCCTCCTTCATCCCTTGTATTTAAAGGCCTTCTTCTCCAGTGGCCCCCATCTTGCTCAGGCGCTCTCCGGACTGCAGAGTCCGATAGGTATGAATGTGTCACATCCTTGAATTCTGGCATATCATTGGGCAGCAGTCAGCATGGGGTATCTGGGGGATTGAGGACAATCACCATAAAGGGGTTAGGGTGCTAGGAGACTCTTTATGATTCTCTTAGACATCTGCTCAGCCTCTGGGCTCTTGTAAAGCAAGCTCATTTGTAGGATTAACCTTTTCTCTTCCTACTTGGCCTTTCATAGCTGGTTGAGTCTTGGCGATCGAACTTTTCAGACACGACTAATGTGGGTATTTGTTTTTGTTGAGCTATCTGTATTAGGGGCTTAATCAATCAATCAATTAATTGCTCATTGGGAGAGGGTAGAGGGATTGACAGATTTAACTTTGTTAATTGAGAAAATAAAGAAAATAAATTTTAAACAATTTAAAATGTGGCATGTTTTCCCACCCTATTATACTCAATAAAATTAATCTGGACTCAAAAGTATGAAAGGAATGAGCCTAGGGAGAATGTGAATTAAAAATGAAATATGTGGTCCCGTAAGCTTTATGTTGTCGGTGAAGCATGGGGTGCAAGCCTGAGACTTGGAACCAGGAGACACAAAGTCTAATCCCGGTTCCAGTTCTGATTTGGTGGGTGATGAGAGGAAAGTGTATGAAGTAGTGGATCAGGCATTAGACTTGGAGTCAGGTAAGACCTTTGTTTGAATCCCACATCAGATGCTTACCAGCAGTGTGACCTTGGGCAAAGCATTAACTTCTCTCAGGTTCAGTTTCATCATCCACAAAATATGGATGATAATAGTAACTCCTGGACAGGGTTATAGGATCAAATGAGTAAAGTATTTGAAGTATATTGCAGACCTTAAAATGCTATATAAATGTGAGATATTGTTGTTGTTATTTTCTTGGGAGTCAGTTAACCTCATTGCATATGAGCAAATAAAGAAAGGTACATGAAAGAGCTTTGAAAAGTATACAGTGCTATACACATAGGAAACAATATATTTTATTCTACTAGTTACTCTGATGTTGAGAATTGTTTGCTCTCAAGTGTTTGAGGAATGTTTTGAAGGATGGTAAGAGAATTTCCAGGGCTGATCCAAGGTAGCATGGTATAGTAGAAAAAGCAATGGATTTGGAGTCAAGGACCTGAGTCCAAGTGCTATCACTTTCTTCATTTAACTTGTGTCACTTTGGGTAAATCAATCAACCTCTCTGGATCCCAGTTGCATCATCTGTAAAATGAGGGGATTGGACTAGCTTCTAAGGTCCCTTTCTGTTCTAAATCCATGAACCTTCAAAATCTCTATAGATCTTTGTCTCCTATACTGACCCTTAATATTTCACAAATATGCTTGCAGAAATCTTTGGACATTCATTCCTTAAACTCTCCTTGTGTTGATATTGGTCACTGTGTTGTTCACTGCTTTGCTGACTCCTGCTCTTTCTTTTCTGTATGGTGAAGTCATGAATAGGGCACTGCAAAAGTGAGACCCATTCATTCTTTTCCTTTTCTCTACTATTAACCTCCTAGTGCATGACACCTTGGGACTGAATTTCTTTGTTTTTGTTTGTGTTAGTGATTGGCTATCAGAGGAAACATCTGGGGAAGAGCAACCAGGATGATTAGAAAAAAAAAAGGAAGAAGAAGGGATGAAGAGGCAGAGAAAAATGAGAATTTTTTTTGGTGAGGTAAAAGAAGGATGATGTCAGCCTGTATCGTGCAATGGAAGTTATTTATATGTTTCTGTTCTGTTCAATTGTACCGCTCTGTTAGAGGTTGTGTAGGACAAAGAAAGAGGCCTGAAGTTGGAATCAGATCACTGGATTTTAGGCCTCAGGGCCTACATCTATTAGTTTTGTGGCCTTGAGCCTCAGTTTCCTTATCTATAAGCTGAGGATGATAATAATAGTATCTGAATGACCTGGTTCACAGGATTACTAATAAACCATAAAGTTCAATTATGATGATGCTGAATAGTAGTATGGAAGTGGCTATGGGTTCTTGAATGGAAGGCAAGCCATATCTAAGCATTAAGTATAGGTCTGGTGATGAACTATGACTCTTTTGTTCGAGGGCTTGCCTGGCTAAATTTAGAGAGGCTGATCACTAGAGGGTTGACCATCAGGTAATTAATTTCTTGGGCACTGAAACCTATTAAATATCTACTAAGAAATGGAATATCCACATAGATGAAATCCTGTATCCCAGAAGTACTGACTTATTATTTTTATTATAAAATAAGGACTCAGGATTTTGATTAATTAGGAGCATTTATTTAGAAAGGCTTCTGTTGAAGCAGGTGGCCCTGCATCACCCACCCTGCCCCTTAACTCAGCCTCTCCTGACCAAGCCTTCTTGTTCCTCTTCCATTCAGTACTTTAATTTTTGTACATCTTTTTTGGTTTCTCTTTGGACACTTTTTGTAGAAAGTGACAGTATGGTAGCTGGTAGTAATGTTGTAGAGTCCATCAGAAACAGATTTTGCTGTATGTAGTCTTGAGGAAAATAACTGAAGGGAAATAGGGAAAAGAAGTAACTTGACCAGTGCCACATAGTACATTAGTAACAGAGTGATACCAGAGACAGCCCCCAGCCGTAGAGTCCCACAAAAATGAAACTGAAAGGGACCTGGCCTTTCTTTTCCACTAACTTGATGTATGACATTGGCTTGGTTACAACCTCCCCGTTTTCTTAGTCTGTAAAATGAGGATATTGGATTAGATGATCTCTAAGGTCTAACATTTTGCCATTCTTATTTCTAGGGTGAATTTATCTGTCAATAGTGCCTTCTATGTAAGGAGTTGTGGGGGGATGCAAAGATTTACCTGCTCTCCAGGAATTTGTAATTTAGTTGAGGTAGGAAGACATTACTTGATTGAAAAGACAACTACAGTAAGTAGGACTGGGCAGTGGGAGGTAGCAGTTCCAGCTTGGGGGTGGGGGTAAGGGCATCAAATAAGGCTCTGTGAAGGAGGTAGGATTTGAGTGACACAGGACTTAGATAGCGTGGAGGTAGAAAGAAGGGCATTCCAGACACGGAGGGTGGGCATGAGCAAAGGCAAAGGCGGTTGGAAAGTGCTTGGGGTGGGTTTGACCGGAGCTGAGGGTAGCAGGAAATTTAATAGAACACAGTACGGGTCAGATTTCATTGCAGTACACTTAAAAAAGATTTCCAGCTCTTTTCATTATATTGAAGTTCACTGTTTCAGGTATTTTGCAAAATATTTCATCAGTGTTTATTGTGATAATGCTCTTTTTGTAGAAATCGGCAGTATTAATTTTATTGTTTGTTTTTGCCTACCATTACTTTCATGTCGCCCCTCTTATGTCATCCTCAAACTGATTCTTCCTCAGGCTTTTTGGAAACAGCTCATGATACCAGGAGTGGAGAATGGGCTCTTGGCAGTACCTTACCTGTAAGTTTTCCCACCTTCCTCTTTCCTCTCTCCTTATTATACCCCGTCCCCGTCCCCCTCCCCACCCCCAACTGCAATAACTTTCTTTACATGCAGCTGAAGGGTCTCTTTTTCATACTATTTGGCCAAAGGAAAGAAGAGATGGGTGGAGCAAGATATCTCTGGGCTGGGGGAGACTGCATGAATGTTTGCAGCAAAGAAGAAAACCCGATGCTTGTGGCTAGAGCCTTGCTGTCCCCAGAGAACAAATGGGTAGCCTGTGGAAGCATCGCGGATGCCCTTGCAGTGCAGATGCAGGAGCAGCTGGGGAGATAGCCGCGCACATGCTTTAGCAGGAGCCGCGGTTCCTAGGAGACCAAGTAGCGAGTCCCCGAGAGGGAGGGGGGAAGGGGGAGGGGGAGGAGTGGGCTGCCGCTTTTAGCCGCTGAAAGGGCTGCAGGGAGCTCTGGGTAAGACATTTGCTGCTGCTGCTGCTGCTGCTGCTGCTGCTGCTGCTGCTGCCTCTGCCGCTGCCGCTGCTGCCGCCGCCGCCGCTGGCGGTTCTGCAGTGTTAGCTGCTGGAGAGAATCAGAGGAGAAAGGGAGGGAGGTTGGAGGGAGGAGGTCCGATTGCAGCCATGCTGAATCACTGTCCCTGATTCGATTGCTTTCCAACCTGGACTTCCACTCTCTTTCTGTCTCCCCACTGGCTGCCTGGGAACCGCGGGCAGACAGGACTTGTGAGCGGGGCTGGGAGCCGGGCTCAGTGCCGGAGCCCGCCGCCGCGGGAGCTGTGCACAATGGAGGGGGAAAGGTATGTGCATTTGTGTGTGTGTGTGTGTGTGTGTGTGTATGTATGTATGTATGTATGTGTATGTATGTATGTATGTATGTATGTGTGTGTGTGCGCGCGCGCGCTCGTGTGAGTGTGTGTGCGCGCGGGTGTTCACTGCAGTCTGTCTCCTTTGTATTTATATTGGGGAAGGCGGCTGCTGATGGGATAGAATCGAACCGGACAGCCAGAGCCCGATCCAGGGAAGCAGTGCTGCAAACCTGAGTTTCCCTGAAATCCCTCCTGCCCCCTGAAATCTGGCCCATGCACGGGCAAGCAGATAGACAGACAGACCGAACGAACGACCTCCCCACACCCAACCCCAAGCGTGCGAGGGAGATGAGCTTCTTGGCTGCAGAAGCAGGCTCGGGCTGCGGTGATGACGGGTTACCTAATCCGAGCTCGTCCAAGGAGACATTTCCTTTCCCAGGCTCTGGGTTGGTTTGCGATTAAGGGTCGGGGGTCGCATTCCAGATGTCACGGTTGGGAAGGGCTGCGAACACACACAGCTTAAGTGTTTCATGCTTTGAAATTGCTAGTGAAACACACCAGGGGCAGGCATGCAATGCTTGTTGTGCCCTACCTGGAGTTGGTGTGTAGCCTGCCTGCCTGCTTCAGCATTCGTGTCCTGTGTGCAAATTGGCGGTGGAAGGAGAGAAAATAGTCACTCTGACTTGTTATCTGACCCTAGTTTCATTTTGGTTCCTTATTTTAAAAGTTCATAATGTAAAAAAGAATGTATTTGCCGTAGAGAACCCTTTTCTTCAGACAAGGAACTTGTATATACAGACTTGCATTAAAAATAGGAATAGCAACCGTGACTTCTGCATGTACACACACAAATCACTAAAAATCCAGTTATTTAAGGACTTAATTTTATTTTTAAGTGACCATATCTGGTTTAGGGTGTGGATATGTCAGTGAGAAGGCCAAAACATCTCTCAAGTATTTATTTATTTTTTTGGTGGTGGTGGTAGGGGAGAGTAAGATGAATGGGAGCAAGTGGTGTTTTGAAGTTTCACTTATATAAGCTATCAAGGACTTTGGGTTTTTGTGGGGGAAAAAAAGCCTGTTAGAGCCCAGGGTGTCAGCCCTTTTAAATAATAGTGAGTTCCTGGACTTACTGAGAAAGAATGCCACCCCAGAGGGATGTTGGTATCTGGTCAATAAAAACCCAACAAAATGGTAATAGGCCTAAGTCAATGACAATCAAAGGGGAGTCTCTAAAGTCCATGTGCTCCCCCTGAGCTCCATGTAGCTCTGTGGCAATCCCAAGCTCCACAGTTTCCTCTGTAGCCGAGTATTGTCACTAGGGTCTCCCAGTTGTGGTAAAAGCTTTTTTAATTGCTGTGTCTCTGGTATTGTGTCTGAAAAGGCCTCCACTGGACAGTATATTTTATTGGTGTAATCCTCTCAGAAAGAATCCAGATCTTGTCTAGTACATGAAGTACAAGTCAGAGATTGATTTTCGTTGCTTGGGAAGGGAGCATCTATCAAAGATTGATGTCTCAAATGTTGTGCTTCTCTGCCTCATTGGCAATGCTGGCATTCTATGTTGACTTCTCTCCGAAGGACCTGTTATTAAAGGTTTTCAGGGAGCCACAGTTTTGGAGAATTGTTTTCCCAACCTGGTGGGGGAGAAATGGAATTCTGTACTTTAAACATTTTCTTTCAGTGTGGTAGGAACTCTGCCATCAGCAGTCAGAAACAGACCTTATTAAAGCCCTGAGATGGAAGGACATGGATGAGAAGAGACCACTAGGTGTGTGTAGAGTTGCAGAGGTAGGCAGGTGAGGGCAGGCAGAGGTCAGACTCTTGGAAAAGTAGGAAGTGATTGCTCAGCGACTAGAGTTGTCTAGTGGGTCTGGGGGCAGAGGTAATAATAACACTAGAATATTTGTATAGCTCTTTCAGGTGTGTAGAACACTTCACATACATTATCTCATTTGAATCTCAAAGCAGTTTTGGAAAGTAGGTTTTGTTTTTAATTTTCGCTTTACAGATGAGGAAGTGATTTGTCTAGGGGGTCGTATAGTTAAGGGTTTGGAGTGTGATTCACCCAGGTCTTCCTAACTCTAGATTGTGTACCCTAGCCCCCATACCACATTGCCTCTATGAGGGTGTTAGGCTAAAGGACAGACTTTATATTTATTCTCTATATACTTGTGTACTCATTATCTCCACTGATAGAATGAAAATTCCTTAAGAGCAAAGACTGTTTCTATAACCCAGTGACAAGCACAGTGCCTGGAACATAGATAGGATGATAGTTTTAATTTGAAAGGGGCTTCAGTGGCCCTTTATTTTAGATGAGGAAACAGAGGCCTCAGAAAGTTAAATGACTTGTCCAAAGCTACACAGCTAGTAAACATCAAAGGTAAAATTTGAATCTTGGGCCTCTGACTACAAAGTTAACACTCTTTCCATTCTACATCTTTACTGACAGTTTCTAATTTCTTGTTGATTGAGTAATCAGTTGATTAATCATCAAAGGTAATAAATATTGACATGAGTTATTAGGAAGCTATGAGAAATCCAAAGAAGGGGAGCCCTGCCCACCCCACCCCCTTCCCCAGGAGCTCGTGATCCAGTTGTTCTCCCTACCTTTCCTCCTCTCCTTGCACCACCCTCTTTAATGAGTTCAGGATTTCTTCAATCCTTGACTTCATTAATCATTGATTATTTAGGCGCCTGTTTATCCAAGGCCTATTGATTCCCTGACTGCCTTTTGGACATCCCTGAGTTCATAGGCACTTTCAACCTGGCAGTTTCCTGCTTTCGCCCTGTTACTCCTGCTGTACAGGCTTGAATAGCTTACAGTTTTCCTACTCCCCAAAGTCAAAATTCCCCCACCATGTGCTTGGAGCCTTATTTCCCATTACAACCTAGGAGTCAGGAAGATTCATCTTATGGAGTTCAAATTTGGCTGTGTGACCCTGGACAAGTCACTTAACCCTCTTTGCCTCAGTTTCCTCATCTGTAAAATGAGCTGGAGAAGGAAATGGCAAGCTGCTTCAGGATCTTTGCCAAGAACAGGGTCATGAAGAGTTGGACATGGCTGAAACAGCTAAACAACAGCAAACATGGTATGCACTCTCCACACTCTCCGGTCTTATTATCCTAGAGTATGGCCACATTCTTTGCTGTCTTTGTGCCTGATTCACTTGGAATGCTCATCTTTCTCGCACCAATCAAATAACACCCGCCTTTCACAGTCCATCTCTGGTCCTCCTTTTCCGTCGGGCTTCACATATTGTACCAACTGATTTTGCTCTCCCTCTTTTCTGAAGTGTATTTAGAATCAGAGGCTAGGGTTGGCGATGTTCCACCCACTCATCTTACAGAAGAGGCAACCGAGGTGAGGCAATACCCACAATACTCACTGAGGTAGTAATTAGCAGAGCCAGGATTTAAACTCAGGTCCTCTGAGCACTTTCCTGCCTTCATCAATTCTCAGTGCCCTGCACGTGGGGGAAAAAAAAAGGCCATTTATGACCCTTTCTTTAGTTGTTTAAAACAAAATTTAAATTTAAAAAATTAAATTGAAATAAAAAATTCAAAGTTTTTTAATGTAAGACTACTTAAAGCCCCAAGAATAATTTGTATTTTAATGGTTTTGTTCTCCATCCTTCTCTCAGTCTTTCTCTGCTAACTCTCTACTTCAGGGATTGGAAGTGAATCCATGGCCTTCTCAAGCCTGTCACTCAGCCCTGTTAGTCAACAGTGCTGTAGCCCACCAGGCTATAAGAGAAGAATGTCATGTCGCTCTGCTCTAAAGGTCCAATTAAATCTGTCAGAGCTTACTCCTTTTCCCCATAGTTCCCTCCTCTCTGTCCCCACCCTGCCTCTCATATGGTGTACTCCTACCTTTCTTCGTTTCAGATATCTTGACAACAGCCCATATTTACATTTCCCTTTGATGTTTACAAAGTAATTTATATATATCATCTCATTTGACTCTTACCACTGTTCTGTGAGATTTCCATTTTACAGATAAGGAAACTGACATTTTGAGAGATTTAGTAATTTGCCTATTGTTACATAGGCAATAAATATCAGAGGTGGGATTAGGATCCATCCTGGATGTCTCTGACTCCTACGCTAGCGTGGTATTCTCTCTGCTATGCTGCTACCCCTGGTCTCACCAGAACTTGGCATACTACCCTACCATATTAACCCGCAGTGAGACCTTAAGCTGTCAGGAAATCTTTATGATCTTTATGCTGTCCCTGCCTTCTCTTGCCCCGCTCTTCAAAATGGACCTCTTAATATCATGCCTGGGTGGTGTTAAACTGCACCACTCTGCATTTCCTGGGTCCAGATAGACACATTTTCACCCAGATTGTTTTCCACCCTTCCTCTGCACACACCCTTCCCCTTCTCCCTCCTGTTTTTGCTTTCCACATTTTGCTCTGAGAACTGTAATCAATCAGTACTACCATTGCCTCTGGAAAAGTTTTGTTAATTTGACTGCCTTATTATTCACCTTCTGTGAGACTTCCCAGACCAGAGCTCCATTCACTGTTCACCTCTCCCCTATGACTTCTTCAAATTGCCTTCACCAGACCAGAATCATAAGAAAAAACGTTTAATTTATCCGAAGTCTGAGCCCCTACCATGCTCAGCTTCCATTTCCTTCAATATTCTAATCCTACATGAAATATTCCTTATTCTTTATGCTGAATAGGGTGGCTTCAGAAGATGGAGCAAAGTGAATATGTTTTCTGCTTCACAAAAGAAAATGGAAACCACTTCTCTAGCTATAGAGTGTGTGTGTGAATCTGGAGAGCTATAAGTAAACAGGCATTTATCGTGGCAGACCTTGCTTGTTTCTAACTCATTTGCAGTTATCTACATCAGCCATGTGACCAGGTGGAAAGAATGCAGGCTTATGTTCCCAGTTTTCCAGGGTTCTAGGAAGGAGCAGCTTTGGAAGAAATGCATGATAGTGTGGGGATATGGCCTGTCATTTTTCTTTACAC